TTCCTGTAGCTAAAATATACTATATATAGATGTTAATTTACTGAAATAAAGTGTGTGTAACAGTTACATTCTTCTTTGGCTATTAACCATTGGATGCAAAACGATTCTGAAAGGAATAACCTCACAAACCATAAAAACTCACTACTCAATGTCAAATGAGTTGATTGTTTGACAATATTTATTCCTAATGGATTTAACTGAACATTATAATCATTTTTAATATCATTAATAGCTTCATCGAAATTTCTACTAGATTCTTCATCTGTGGTGTTGTAAGGATATATTCGAGCTTTTTTCGAATGATAACCAGGAACGTTTGAAATGATATAAATTTTATCATCTTCCTCAACACTTTCACTATATTTGTTACATAGATCAACATCATTAAATAATATGGCATAGTTAATTATTTTTCGAAGTTCTGGAATTTTTGTTTCATCTGGATTCGAAGTTAACCAAATTGAAATCGATGATTGCAAATTGCGATAGCGATGACAAGATTCATTGTACACCATCTTTTTTCAACTCACAAGGCGTGTCAGACGAAGGTAAACATATGTTTATTTAAATTCCTTTCTTTTCTTCACTCATAGTTCAAAAATAATTTCCTAAAAAGGAAGCACTTAAGATTTCTTTCTATACTACAAATAACAGAAAAGAAAATATGAACTACTGTTTGTCTTCTCTTATTTTCTCCTTACTAAATTAGAGAAATCCACCGTAATGGATATCAAAGTAAAATCGTCAATTTTAGACACCATGTCTTGCTTTTTCTCGACATCCTTTAGAAATGGCTTTCTATGTTGTGTAGCACACAATGATGTTATTGGACTCGATCTCGATTTCATAAGATCAACAAGTAATATTTTAACTACATTATCCAAATCAAATGAATACTCGAATTAACGAACAATTAACTATTAGTTTTCCGTTTCTTCAATGTTCTTTTTGTTGTAAAGTCAATCCGTCGGTGGATCTACTAGGAAACGACGCACAATCTGATCAATATTTACTCCTTTGATTTGACATGCGCATCTGAATCAGCGATGTCAAAAACCTCCTTATCCTATATTTTAGCGTCTGATGTTGAGTTGATGAAAAGTCAACTGAATTTGAGTTTTAAGTACTTCTCGAGTTTCATGAAACAACCAAGAAAAACTGCGTCCGAAAAGTTGAGCTGCGTGTCCCGACAGCAGAACAATGAAATCTTTTCATGAAATATACTCGAAAATAAAAGTGTGATTTAAGGAGTTTTTTCCTTATTCTTTTAAAAAATACAGGTAGAATTTTGAATCAATAAGAAAAAATAAGTAAAAATAAAAGTAATTTTGTTTTCTAAGCCAATTGTAGGAGAAAAAGCATACACACTTGTCGTCGTCATTACGGCATTTCATCATCACTTTTTGTTTTCATTTTTAAGTTGAAAAATAAAAATTTTTTTTTGACGACTGATGATTGACAAATAGAATATACTTTACCAGGCATATATTCCATTTCGAGTAAGTCTTTTCCAAGTTTTTATCAAACAAATGAGAGAAGAACGATAAAGTTACGCTCTGTTCTTTCCTTTCTGAGCGTGTTCTTATGTCTCAGATACGTCAAATTGTGAGCAACATTCAGAGAAAGTGCAAAAACACACTACACGGTAATATTTAATTTTTGAGAAATTAATCGCCCTCACTAGACGCATCATGAACATGTGATCATCAAACAATCAATACAATGTTTATTATGACATTTGTGTTTTTAAAATGTGACTTGAACTCGCTTTACATTCAGAATATTCCCCTTTCTAACACTCATATTGTATCATTCAGTGGGACATTTTTGAGCACATTTGGGAATAAGTTAATGTCTGAACTCGAATAATGTTATTACATTCGCTCTTGTTAATTTTAATATTAAGTCGAACCTGATCATAAATTTTTCTGATTATTGACGTATGAGGTCCGAATCCTTTCAGGGTTATTCTTCCTTAGTTCCTTACTTAGTATAGAGATATTTTCATACACTAGTTCTACCAAAGCAAAAGCTACGAAAACAAGTATTAAGATTAATAAAATTACCAATTATAAGTTACATATAACGATGTACTTTCTTTCTTCTTCTCAGTTGATATCTTTTTACTATTGTTTGAACTTACGATGATTAAAATCTTCTGGATATCTGGCATAATTACTAATGTACTATACTTCAAATACTTTAAGCTCTCGAGGAACGACTGAAAAAATTTTAAACATCAAAATGGACATTGAGATGATAAGGAACAATACTCATAAATAAAATTCTTATTCTATCTTTTTTATTTTAATATTAAATTTAAGTTTATCTTCTCGTTCATCGTTAGATGAAACATAGGCAATCGATCACGCTAAATCTCTTGTCAATATTTTTCCTCAAAAAAGTTAAAAATCTACGAAAAATGGATCGAATACTCATTTTTTTAAGCAATTTTCACGTAATATTAAGAATTTATCATTTCGTCAAAACGAATCAGACAGAACTGAAACCTTCGAAAGATATTTAGTTTGGACTGCTCTACATATAATTTAACACGAAAACTAGAAAATGTTAAAGAAAAGAGTTTGATTTTCAAACCCGATTCCTAGAAAACCTTGACGAAGAAATTTCTGATGATGTGAAAAGAATTTATGTAAAAAGCTATGATGCGTACGGAACGATTGCACTGTTTTGAAAACAAAAATCCATTAAACTCAGGAAAAAAACATATTTTACTTTAAACTATAATTTACTTTATTAATAACTATAATAATACTTTTACTTTAAACAATAATCGTACATTCTACAAATTCACATTCACTGGTAAGACTCACTTCACTACGAGAAAGACAAAAGTTGTGAAGAAATCGGATTGTTGATTTTACAGTCACAAAACCGTAGAAAAAACCGTTTTGGGACTGTAAAATACGGTCGGTGCGTATACGCACGAATGCTAGAAAGAACGTTAAAAACTCGCATCCAGGCTCGGCGAAAAAAGATTGTTCGCTTTTAGAGATTATCTGAGATGAGTATGACTTTAAAAAAAAAATGTTGAAGGTAAAGAAAAACCAATTTGGTATCCTATAATACCATTTTCAGTATTCAAAATACCGTTCTGGGTAGTTTGAAAAAATTAATCGTATCTTACAGAATCAGAAGGGTATTTTAAGAATGAGAATACACTTTTGGCATCCTGAAAAACCAATTTCGGTATTTCATCAAAAAGCTCGGTATTTCATCAAAGAGCAGACGAATCTTTTCTGTCTCAGAAAACCAACTTTACAAATATCTTTATTCTGCTGAAGACATTTTCAGAGAATGACAAGTACCCAGGTCGTCAAAACCGGCGGTTAACCACGGTTATTTTAAGAACCGCCGGTTTTTCTGCTGTGTTGCTATGATTTCAGCTGAAATAACCGCGGTTAACGATCGGTTCTTAACATAACCGTGGTTAACCACCGGTTTTCGTCCGGTTTCGACGACATGGATCTTTTAGAAACTTTTGTCATTTCAAGACAGGAGGTATGATAAGCTGGTTTTCGTTCCGAAAGATTTTCTAGGAAAAAACTATACGAGGAGTATTTAGAGCTACCAGAGTAGTCCGAACTGTCTCTTGAATCTTTCAATATAAATTTGTTAGCTACAAAGCATGCACTCTATTAAAAGTAAAGAATATTTGTTTCGCAACGATTAATCACAACGGTTCACCAACATAATTAAAGTAGAAACACTATTCATTAGATCCAATTGCCGGTTCATCAGAACAGTTAAAAATAGCTAAAGAATTTAGTAACAACAAATTCAGTTGTACATGTTACGAAGGCAGACTTTTTATTTGTACTAACGGTAGTAGTACAATAATTGAAGAATACAATCTCCCTAATTGGAAGTTAAATCGAGTATTTAAACCGCCAGCGTCCTGCAAGAAACATCAGATAATAAAGAAACTTCGATTTGACAGCAGCGGTGATTGCGTAGGAATTCTTGCATTTGAAGGCAACTCTCCTGATTACCGTTATATGTTTGAATTGCGAGATTCAAATAATATGAATGTGATAAGAGTTAGTGAGTTTGGAGATGAATTTCACGGCCTACTTTCTCTACCGCACCAACAATTTCTGTTAAATACATGGGAGAATATATATAAGAATATGGAGAAAAGCTTGGTCTGAATTGATGCAAATAGAAAACTGAAAGAAACAATTTCTTATGATATTGGAGAAACACTGTACTCAACAGCTCTAATCGATCAACAATGCCTTGTCAAAAAGTCATGAGTAGCACAAGTTGTAAACATATACAGAGAAAAAAACACGTCAGAAAAACCATAAAATCCATAATCATCGAAAGAAAACCATGTAGAAGAACCATGAAGTAAAAAATTATATTATGAAAACCGTAAAATGCAAAAGTATAAAAGAAAAACTATGAAAGTAGTTAATGATACCGATACCCAGAGGGTGTATGGTAAAGATCACAAACTATGGAAGTAACACCGTAAAAGTTAAATGATGCCGATTTTCAAAAGTTACAACGAAATTACAATTATTACGATTTATTTTCATCAGATTTATTCGAAAAATCCTCCAAGTGGCTAAAGATATGCTCAATAACATATGACATTTTAAATTGCAAAAATGATGCATTTTTA